GCCCCGGGTAATTGAAATGGCTCGCTAATCTGTGCTGCCTCAAAATAACCACCTTCCCATCCTCCTGAGGTGATGGATGTGCTAGCATGTGGGAGCCATGGGCTTAGCGGAGGTTGACACCTGGAAGTGGATGACAGAGGGGCCAGGTGGTCACTCAGGAGGGAAACTTCCTGAGAGGTCCCTGCCACTGTGTGGTGCCCAGTGAAGGGACACACGTGCAGGAGGGCAGCCAGCCAAGGAGGATACCACCTGAGTCCCTGCTCTAGAAAGGGCTCCGAGGGGGACTCCCAGCTGGGCTGTCGAGGTAGAGCACGTGGTCCCCAGAACACCGTCTGGCCCCCGGCTGCCTGCCCCACCACTCTGGCCCCTGACTCCCTGCCCCACCACTCTGGCCCCCTGTGCAGTCAGTGCTGCTGCCCTCTCAGGGCTAGCCGACAGAGGTTAAGGTGGTGGACCCATGTGGCTGGCTGGTGCAGTGTGAGTCCTGGAACTGGCTACATGAAAACCAAACTAGGCATTGTGCGAGTGCTCAAACTCCTGAGAGAGAATGGAGAAGGCAGAGCAGTATGGCCATCCCTCCTGGAGGGGAAGGGGTGACTTTTCACTTTCCCTCTCTCTCTGTCTCTCTAGCAAATTTATGAGTCCTATAGCAAAAACTAAAAAAATAAAATAAAATAAAATAAAATAAAAAGCTACTGGCCCTTTCTAGGTTCAGCGGGCTCACCTGACTCGTCTCCTGCTGAGCGGCCATGCCAACCTCTCGTGGCCACAGCACGATCGCTGTCTGTGTGCCAGCCCAGACATCCAGGACCAGACTCCCCAGCGCGAACTGGCTGGCTGGTTAAACAGGCAACACTAACATGTAGGAAACGCAATAGAAGCCCCTAAGGAACTAGCAGCCATAGGAATAACATAAAACAGCAGTGAGCTGAGAAAAAGGATTCATGTTTCAAGAATGATTTAAATAGTAGTTTTTTACCAATTTTTTTTAGAGATCACGACCTACTTGAGAGAGGAGGAAGAGCAGGGGAGAGGAAAAGAAGGCTAAAGCGTCACAGGCAGGGGCTGTAATGGCAGCTCCAATGGGCATGAGCGGGCATCCACCTCTCCGTTCACCAGAGCAGGGTCTGTCACAGAGGGGTTCTGAAGTCGTCAAGCCTGGGGAGGTGACAGAGTGAGCTGATTTTTTGCTGGTGTTTAAAGCCACGCCTCAGACTTTCAAGTCTTTGCTTCAAGGAGAACACCTAACCCTGAAGAGCTCTCCTCCCAGTGGGAAACGTAAGGGAGGCAGCCAGAAGAATAAAGAGACCACGAAATGGCAATTATGCAAATGCAACTTTTCAAAGCAGTTCAAAGATATCCTTCCTGGAGGATTTAGTGTCTCCTAAAGAGAGGAATCATTTTAAGTTTCCTTCCATTCTGATTATTCCATTTTTACTTTAAAGATTCTTTTTCATGGAGCCGTGAGAGACCACTGAGTGCTAAAGGAAGCATCATTTTCTGTGAGCAGTGAACACTGCCAACGAAACTGTGAGAGAGCTTCTCTTACCACACTCATGTAAGCACCCAATCTTGAGGATTAAAAAGAAAAACAGAAATAATGTGGTGTTATTAAAACAATTCTAATATAGCAGTAGGTTTCTGACATTTTAACTTACTACCTTATTTCAAATATTTGCAATCTGTTAGCCCACAAATCAGTAATTTTCCATTTAGATGGTATGTTTTTCCTCTTCCCTTGCATACTCTAGCAATTATCCTGAAATTCCATATTGACTATTTTTCTGAAAAACCTCTTAAATTGTAATTTCTAAGAGAATTATTTATTTATTTATTTCTATTTGTTATTATTATTTAATTTGACCAGAGAGAGACAGAAAGGG